CGCTGGCGGGAGCCGCGGTCGCCCGGGCCGAGATTGGGGGGGCAAGGCGGGCGACAGAAGGCCGATGCCTCCGTCGCCCGGCCCTCTACAGAATCCACCCCCCAAACCTCCAGGTATTTCCCTCCTTAGAGCTGGCAACCCTACATTCCCCTCAGTGCCTGTTGGTAGGCAACTAAGCTTGGTCCTGTCACCTACTTTGGCCTTTGGGAGAAAACACATTGGGGCCAATCCTGATAGGGTTGCCAACTCCAGATGGGAAATTCCTGGAGATTTGAGGGATGGAGCCTGAAGAGGGTGAGGTTTGAGGAGGGGTGGGACCTCAGACAGGTACACTGCCATAGACTCCACCCTCCAAACCAGTCAGTCTCACATAGGGAACCATTGTTGCCAATCTCCAGGTGAGGGCTGGAGAGCACTCAGTATTACAACTGTTCTGCAGAAGGGAGGGCAGAAGTCAGCTGAAGTCAAAGGGGCAGATAATGGTAGGTTGGTGGCTAGCTGGGAAGGAGATGGGGTTGCCAACTACATGCTGACAAATTCCTGGGGATTTGAGGGGTGGAGCCTGGAGAGGGTGGGGTTTGCAGAGGGGTGGGACCTCAGACAGGTAGAATGCCATAGACTCCACCCTCCAAACCAGCCATTTTGTCCTGGGTAACAATTGTTGCCAATCTCCAGGTGAGGGCTACAGATTACTCACAATTACAACTGCTCTTCAGGTAGCAGAGATCAGTTCCTCTGGAGAAAACAGTGGACTCTGTCATTATACCCTGCTGAGGTCACCACAGCAAATTGACACTGTTTGCCCAAAGCCAGAGCACTGCCCCAGAGCCTCTTTCTAGATCTCGTTGTATTGCTTTCACAACGGGCTTTACTGCTAGTAGTAATATAACCCCATTAGAAATATATTAGCAGGAAATTGTAATGTCACAACATTCATGTCTGATGTTTATTTGTGAAAACAGCTCAATGAGCATACATATTAAAAGTGTAAAAATCAGGCTTCAGTTTTAGATGTGCAAAGCTGGTCTACTAGGTGTCTGTTTCTGACTTGGATGCAAACCAGCTATTTTTCTAGCTATAGCAAGAGTTCAAGCATCACAAGCAAATCTCAGTTTGTTCATGACAAATATGGGGCAGGAAGTCCTTGAGATCCCTCTTCCCTCCATCCTCCACTTGTAAGTGGCACAGAACGGGTAGATTTTCCAGCATGGAATAAATTGCAGTTTGCTGTTTTGACCAATTGGACGAAACTGAAAACTTACAAACCAAGACTCTAAACCACAGTTTAATCTTCTTTAGAACTGTTTGTTCATGATATCTGTATACAGCCAATGTCTGTGAAGTAATATGACCACTCAATATGTGTTATGTCAAAATTAAGTATTATTCTGTTATATTCAAAAACAGGTCCATTGCCTTGGTGGAGAAATTGGAGCAGACGTTTGGGAACACCTTCTGGTTATGATTCGAAGTCCATTTTTAGCTCTTTCTGCCACCATTAGTAATCCTAAACATCTTACTGAGTAAATGCTATGTGTTTTTTATTTATAAAAATGTGATCATGACAGTTATTCAGCTTTAAACACATATGGCATTTATGCAAATAAGTCAAAATCAAGGAGTATGTGTCACTATTTGCTAGAAAACAAATGGCATATTTAGGAGCAGTGCAGAGTGATCTACAACCCACTTTACCTACAGTATACTAGTTTGGCTTAAGAATTAAAAATTCTTTAAAGAAATGGTTTGGCTTTTGTGATGAACAGATACAGATCAAATGCTTTAACCAGAATATGTACACGTGAAGTTGCTTTATATTGAGTCATACCATTGGTCTATCAGGGTCAATATCATAAACAAACAATACCATCAACAAGCATTATTTTCATGTGTATACATGAAAGCTAAATTAATTTCACATTTAAACAGTTCGTAAAAGTGGCTCAAGTGGTTAAGATGCTGAACTGCAGGCTGTGGAAGGTCAGTAGTTCAGCGGTTCAAGACCCGGGTGCCGCAAGACAGGGTGAGCTCCTGTCTCTAGTTCCAGCTCCTGCCAACCTAGCAGTTCGAAAACAAGAAATTTCAAGTAGATAAATAGGGACCACTTCGGTGGGAAGGTAACAGCGTTCCGTGCGCCTTGGTGTTTAGTCATGCCGGCCACATGACCACGGAAACGTCTTCGGACAGCGCTGGCTCTTCGGCTTTGAAACGGAGATGAGCACCGCAACCCTAGAGTCGGATTCGACTGGCTTTCGAGCAAGGGAACCTTTACCTTTACTAAAAGTGGCTTGAAGTTAATTTTTTTTGTGTGTGAGAGTGTATACAGATGGAATTTTTGGCTCTCATAATGAGTTGTATATATTACCCTCACTGCATAATGCAAATCTTTAGATGTTGTTTTAACATTACGTATCAAAGAAATCTGTTTTTGTAATGTCTTCAAATTTATATAACAGCCAGTGTTTGCACCTATCACTACATATGTTATAAAAACAAGCTATGTAGTGGTAGGTGTAAACATAAAGTAACCCTGTTGCCTACTCTCAAATGTAAATTGTACCCAACAAGAGGGAGGAGAGGACTGGGTATTCAGGAGGCGCGCATAGTCCTCTTGTTCTTGATAATGGTTATATGCATAAAGCAAAGGGTGGAGTGAGGGAATGACATTCACTTGTAACCTAAGCTAACATAAGAACATAAGAGAAGTCAATGTTGGATCAGGCCAACGGCCAACACTCTGTCACACAGTGGCCAAAAATACCAGGTGCCATCAGGAGGTCCACCAGTGGGGCCAGGACACCAGAAGCCCTCCCACTGTTGCCCCCACCCCCAAGCACCAAGAATCACTTGCCCCAGCCTGAGAGTTCCTATCTATACCTTGGCTAATAGCCACTGATGGACCCCTGCTCCATATGTTTATCTAATTCCCTCCTGAAGCTGTCCATGCTTGTAGCCACCACCACCTCCTGTGGCAGTGAATTCCATGTGTTAATCACTCTTTGGGCGAATAAGTACTTCCTTTTATCTGTTCTAACCCAACTGCTCAGCAATTTCATTGAGTGCCCACGAGTTCTTGTATTGTGAGAAAGGGAGAAAAGTACTTCTTTCTCAATCTGCTCTATCACATGCATCTATATATCTAATTCCCAACATACCCCCTCCGTGCAGATATCTAAATAAGCACATCAGAGGCAC